TACCCCCCCCCACCCCCAAGCCCACATCTCAGAGTCCTCAGATCCCGCCTACCCCTCCCATCCCAGCTCCTCCCCTCTCCTCCACTAGGACTCTCCCCACCCAGCTGTGCCTTCACTCTCTCCTTCCAGGAAAACCATCCCTCTCACATCCACAAACCCTCTCTCAGCCTTCCTGTGCCAAATATAAAAATCCCCCCGCTGACTGGTCCTCCATTCCCTGGGATGCCCTAGGTCCGCGCATCCCTGCTCTCAGCCCAGGCAGGCCCTCTCAACCGCTGAGGCAGTTCTACAACCAACCCAGTTCCACAGACACACCACAGCACCCCTCAAAGTCCCACACCACCAATGAACGGGCATGGGGAACGTGTCTGTAACAGGACTGTTCTACACCTCGACTGTAGTAATGGTTAGGTGACCATATGCGTTTGTTTTTGGTTTTTTTTTAGATTTACTTATTTGAGAGAGAGAGCACGTACATGCACACGAAGGGGGGGTTGCAGAGGGAGAGAGAGAATCTCACGCGGACTCACGCTGAGCACAGAGCCTGATGCGGGGCTCAATCCCAGGACCCCGAGATCATGACCTGAGCTGAAATCCAGAGCCCGCTGCCCAACTGAGCCACCCAGGCACCCCGAGACCTTACGCATTTCTCAAACTGCACAACCACCTACTAGACGGGGTGACTCTACCACACGCAAATTACATCTTAATAAAAAGAGGAGGTGAGTCCCAGAGGTACCTCAACCCCTTCATGTCTAGAACATCACCATCTTCCCCCAAACCAGCTCCTCCCCAAAACTAGAAACCTCAGCCCCTAGTATCCAACCAGCCACTGAATCTAGACCCTCTACCTGCACAGATTTCTATTCTCTTGAATCTATGCCTCACATTCCACCTCCCCGTGTCTGCCCCCTTCCCCGCCATCCACCACCTGAGACACAGGCCACGCTCACTTCTCACAAACTGCCTCACTGGCTCCCTGCCTGGCCACCCTGACCTGCTCAGCACACACCAGCCCACCATGGCACCCTCCCCATGGCAACGCCCACTGGCCACCAGACCTTTGCCCCCACTGGGCCTCAGCCTCCCCGCATTTCTCTCCCAGGGAAAAACACCCATCTTTCAGGCCCCAGCAAGCACTCGCCTCCCAGCCTTTCTCCAGCAGAAGCAGCTTGTGCTCCATGCTGAGTCCCCACAGCAGAGGGCCGGTACCCGCTGTGGGTCCTGCATAGTCTGGCCCAGACTGTGCACTTTATCAGGGCAGGGAGCTCACGCTCGCTCTGTCTCTCTCTGTCTCTCTGTCTCTCTCTGGGGGCCCTCTGGGCTGCAGCTGGACTCATGAGCTGGCCTGAACGAAATTCAGCTGAAAATTGCCAGGAGTACAGAGCCAATCCCTCCTGGCTCCTGACCCCAGTGCTGAGAGAAAATGTGTGGAAGCACTGCTCTGCCTCACCCAAACTCACCCAAACCATTAACCGCAGAGCACATGGTGGTCGCTAGACTGCTAACATCCCCCAGGAGTGAGCGCCTAGAAACTTCCACAGCAATTTAGCATCGCCATGCCATGTTTACTGTGCTTTGCAAACACACTGCTCTGCAACAAACTGGGAAAAAATAAAACCCAGTCCTTTGCCACAAGGAGTCTGTGAAGCACTCACCACTGACCCTGCCCCCCACCCCCAACTCCTGCCTCTTCCTGCTGAAATCCTGCTCATCCTCAGAGTGCCCCCCCAACGCTCCTCCTCCAAGAAGCCTTCACAGTTTGCACCCAGAGCCCCTAGTCCAAACCACACTGAGGGCCCTGAGGTGGAATCTGCATCCCCCCCTTACTACAAGTTCCCCGAGTTCAGGGATCCAAGTGCTGTTCATTTCAATATTCCCAATGCCATGCCTGATGCAGTCAATCCATCCGTAGTTGTTCAATGAGGAGTAAAAAACCAGATCCGCCTATGATTCCAGAGTGGGCTTTTCCTCAGGGGCAGGATGTGGAGGGGCACTGACCCTCAGGGTACACAAGGATTTTCCAGGTTTGGACCAAATGTAGCCCCTCTGCCCCAGGCCAGATGGGATAGGAGGATATTAAAACACACACACACACAAGTCTAGGGCTCTTGGGACAAGAGCACAGTCACTATTCTACAATACCCTGACTTGTCAATCTGAGTAAAAAACACTTGGCTCTCTCGTGAATCTTTTCTACATCCACCCACTGAAAATAAATCACTCCCAAGTATGAAGAATAAAAAGACATTTTCAGGGTCATTTCCAACTTTAAATACTCTGTGGGCCCCTGACCTCAAAGCAAGAGGTCAAGGGCTCAGGAGCCTGGAACCCCACAAGGAACAACATGCTTACGGACAGACCAGTGGGTACCCACTCAGCTTTGCAAAGTGCGGGCAGAAGCCCTCTCTCACGTCCTGCACCCAGGGTCCTGGCCCTGTCTCAGAGTCTGTAGACTTCCCCCGTCCCAGAGGCGCCACTCTTGAAGACACGGGCCCTTGAGCTCCCCACACCACTCTCTCCCTTCCACTGGCTCCAAGTTCCTGGCTGTTATTCGGCAGGAATGCACGAACTATTTCCAGATGCCACTGTCAGATCAAGACAACGTTCTATCTAAATATTCCTGTCTAATTTTGCACACAGCTCTTGTTTCAACTGACAAAGATAATGACTCAGTGTCCATGGCTCTTGGCGGAAAATTATCCTGCCAAGTTTGGACTTCTCTAAACTTCTTTTTGAGAAAGGAGAAGTGACCTCTCTGTCCGAATCCTTTTCTAATGGCAACAAAGGGCACCCAGAAGACCACCTAACCGACCAAGGAATGTTACAGGAAAATCCTGATACATACCCACAGGATCAATGAACAAGACAGGGGAATTCATGGGAGGGAGATGCTTGGGATATTCTTCCCTGCTCTATGCAATAATCACTGTTTTTCAGCTGTTCTGCATCCCCATCGATTCGGTACTTAGAACTTTGGGACATAAATTCCAGGTTATATTAAAGGCAAAAAAACCTACACTCAGAAGTAAAGCATCTTTCTCTGCATCTTTGACAATGATGCTTCCATCGACCATAGAGGCACTTTACAAATGATACGTGTCCCCGTGTTGCACGCTCTCCTGGAGGGGCACACAGCAAGTGTAGACATCCCCACACATAGGCTTGAAATGCAGCCACTTACTCTGCACACTCAGGGCCGGCCCCTTTCCACATCACAAGACACAGAAGATGACTAAAGCATCACCTTGTGGATAATGGAGTTGGCCTTTCTGCCAGGGTTTGGAAGCTTGAACTTGTTTGGTCACTATTTAAAAACTGTCCCATGGTTATTTCACATGCATATCCCCAACCCTCTTGCAAAGTCTCAAAGAGAAACCACCAGCCTTCTCCTTCTTCTGCATTCTGGACCCAGCCAATCACTGCCCTGCATCCAGCAGGCAAAGTAAATGCCCATGAGTTTACCTCCTATCGCTCTCCTGTCCCTCCAGGTGTGGAGGTGGGGTCCCTTTGGAATCCCATCTATACAGCTTCTACCCCTGGTTTAGGATGGGGGCACAGCACTACCCTTTGCCTAAACCTCTCAACTACTCATGGGCAGGTCCCAGAACGCCTTTCTGGCAGCACAAAAAGACTCTTCTTAGAGTCTTAGCTCAATGGTTCTCAACCAAGGCGATTTTGCCACTTAGGAGACATTCGGCAACGTCTGGAGAAATTTTTGGTTGTCACACTAGTGTGTGTGTTGGGGTGGGGAGCTGCTTCCAGCATCTAGTAGACAGAGGCCACAGATGCTGCTCTCCATCCTACAACGCACGGGTTACCCTCCCACAGCAAAGAACTGTCCAGCCCAAACGTCAAAAGTCTGAAAACTGGAAAGCCCTGTCTCAGGAGACACACAGGGAAGTGCTCACACCATCCGGGTCACTTTTCCTTTGAGGTGCCCAAGGTTAAGCCAAAAATTCTAATAACCCTGCACTGCCTGCCTTATTTGCAAGGCTGAACAAAATACCCTGAGCCATTGCCAGAGTCTTAACGATGCTGCTCCTGTGAACCTAGAGCACCCCCTTGTCTCAGGAGAAAGTACCTCCTGCCAGGATGACCTGTCCATCCACAGGAGGACAAATGGCAGGCTGGTATCATGCATGCTCATATCCTCTGGCAACCACTTAGGCTTGGCAGGCCCGGCTCTTGCGTCTTCCGTCACGCACACCGAAGGCCCCAGTGAGCACGACATGTGTTCCAATGGGCCTGTGCCCGGCCAGTGGAGAGCCTCTAGCCCTTCAGGAGCCTGGCACCTCTCAGCCACGTGGAGAGCCCCAGCACCCAGACCTGCCCTGGCAGCATTCCCCGTCCCCGAGGCCCACGGGCAGACTGCGTGTGGTAGGGGGCTGGGACTAGGGACAGGCAACAGCTCAGGCAATTTAGCCCAAACCTCTCCCTGGGCCCCCAGGGCCTGAAGAAGCAGGAGGACGGACCCAGGAAAAGCTAACGGATGAAAGGAGCAAGAAGGGCCCCCTTTCCCAAGTACACCCCAAACCCCCACCTAAGAAACCCGACAGCGGGGCCGGGCCACGGGAGTCCAAGTTGTGACCGGAGCCTGCAGCCAGCGGCACGCAGAGCCCCTGCACACAGCGTGGAGGGTCTGGGAGCGAAGACCCTGAGACAGCCGGGAGGGGGAGGAGGCCGGGCGGGCGCCCCGGGGAGGCAGGCGCAGCGGGCGGAGTTGGGCCCGGGGCTGGCGGAACTGCCACGGGGAAGCCGCCACCCAGGAGCGCGACGCGGGAAGGGCGCGCGCGGGTGGAAGGCGAGCC